AAGAAAGAGCCAAAACGACTTACGAGAAGGCGAAACACCATCAAAACAAGTCACTCCAAATCAAACACATGTAATGAACGACGTTGAAATGGAAGGAACGTTTTCTTCTGAAATCGCTGAAGAACAAAACAACGATTTAATTTTTGACTACGAAAAATATGATCTCATAAAAAGTGCTGGAGAAAAATCGTAAGGTTTCATATTATTTCCTTTTTACTTTTTTTCTCCTTTCCTTTCTAAAAACCATTTTTTTCTTCTAAAACTTTTTTTTTCTAAAACTTTGATTTTTTGTTTTTTTCGATTCTTTCACGTTCTATTCTATTAAAATGCATGTTCTATTTTTAAAACCGCGCGTAAGCTGTCGTAATCTGTATTGTTGTAGTTCGCGCTTTTGTGTAAAATGTTATGGTCCAGTGCGTCCATCTGTTCGTAATACGTCAGTTAAACCGAAAACTCGTGCTTTAAGTTTTGGCTTTATATGTGCTGTTTTTTATATCAGGTTGTAAAATTATCATATTTATGTTTAAGTAACACGAGTTTTCAAATTAGGAAAACTGATTCTCTCCATCATGACTGTTAATGTTTTAACGTGCAACATAAACGGTCTAAACGACCAAGAAAAACGCGAAAATTTTTTTGGGTTTCTAAAAAAATCCTCCTTCGATCTCATCCTCCTACAAGAAACACACTCTGGACCTTCCACTGTTCAACAGTGGGGAGACGAATGGACTGGCGAGTCCATTTGGAACTCTGGTCCAAGTCATAACAGTTGCGGGGTGGCGGTTCTCTCGAAATCCAACATTTCTTTAAGCGAACTAAAAAGGGACACTAACGGAAGAATATTAAATGTCATAATAAAATTTGACGAACACGAAATGCAGGTGATGAATATTTATGCTCCTAATGTGCCGAGGGAAAGGCGCCATTTTTTTGGCGACCTTGTTGATTTCTCGCAGGACACAGGACTACCCGTCCTGTTGGCCGGAGACTTCAACATGGTCGAAAGCCTGCCTCTTGACACAGAAGGCACCAACAACGCTAAATATCACACCTACGGCGTGGACGAACTCGGGGTATTCCAAGGTAAGTATAACCTGGTTGATGTTTTTCGTTTAAAATTCCCAAACAAAAGAGAATTCACATGGCGAAATCAGAAGGCAAAATGTAGACTCGACCGAATCTACTGCCCTGAAAAAATCGCAAAAAAAACAACATATACAAAAATTCTCACCAACCCCTTCTCCGACCACGAGTTCGTAACAACAACCGTCAATTTTAGTAAAACCAGGAGAGGACCAGGATACTGGAAATTAAACTGTTCTCTTTTAGAAATAGAAGTGTATAGGCAAAAAATTGAACTCTCAATTAAAGATTGGCAAACTAAAAAACGGTCCTACAATTCAATTTTAAAATGGTGGGACGACTGCAAACTTTTTGTTAGGGTAGAATTACAACATATATCTATTCAGGAAAGTGCGAAAAACAAAAAACAGATCAAAAGGATTGAAAACGAAATCCAGCGGGAGCGACAAAACGCCAACCCGAATTTAGATAGCATCAAAGAAAAACGCGATGCTCTTTTCTTGCTCCATTTCCCAGGAGCGTTTATTCGCACGAAGCAAAAACTAGTTGAAGAAGGAGAAAAACCTTCAAAATTTTTGTACAGTTTGGAAAAAACTCAACAGAGGAACAAGTCAATTACCAAAGTTCGCAAGAACGACGGAACATTGACGAGTGAACCTGGTGAGATTTTAAACTCCCTTGTTTCTTATTACAAAAACATCTACACCAAAACGAATTTATGTAAAGACAGCCAAAACTATGTCTTGTCACACATCACTAAACATTTGAGTGATGATGAAAACCAATTATTAAACACCCGCCTAACCGGCGCGGAGTTAAAAGAAGCCCTTTTTAAATTTGAAAACGGAAAATCCCCGGGCTATGACGGACTTCCAGCTGAATTTTATAAAACTTTTTGGCACATTTTAGAAAAAGATTTTGAAGAACTTGCTTACGAAATACTTTTCGTAGAAAAAAAACACCAGCCACTCTATGAAAAGATCAATAA